GTCAGGTTCACACGTGACCACAGCCCCCATCCCAGCTCCACGGTCAGGTTCACACGTGACCACAGCCTCCATCCCAGCTCCATGGTCAGGTTCACACGTGAACATGTCCCCACCCCAGCTCCACGGTCAGGTTCACACGTGACCACAGCCCCCATCCCAGCTCCTCGGTCAGGTTCACACGTGACCCCCGTCTCTCATCCCAACATCACGGTCAGGCTCACATGTGACACCCATACCCCATCCCAGCACCATGGTCAGGTTCATCCATGGCCACATCCCCCTTCCCAGCACCACGGTCAGGTTCACACGTGACCCCTGTCTCCAATCCCAGCACCACAGTCAGGCTCACACGTGAACATGTCTCCACCCCAGCACCATGGTCAGGTTCACCCATGGCCCCATCCTCCATACTCTTTTTTTTTTTTAAAGGATCCCATTTCGGTTATTCTTTGTATGTTCCTGGAAGCTTCCACGGATGACAGTTTAGAATTCGCAATCACAGGGTCACTATAAGCTGGAGTTGACCCAACAGCACCTAACAACGTATATATAGGGGGCTCCAGTTTCCCCATAAAGTTTGGAACTTAGGAGTGGCCCTGATAGCGGCGAGAGTCCCAAGGTGACCTCTCTTTCTTACAGACGGACAGCTTATGCCTACAACCCGGAGCCCCAGCTGTATGCCCCCAGCAGCGCCGCGTCCTACTTTGAGGCTGCAGGTGGCGCCCAGGTGACCGTGGCAGCCTCATCCCCGCCGGCAGTCCCCTCCCACAGCATGGTGGGCATCGCCATGGACGTCACCGGGACCCCCATCGTCTCCAGCACGGGCGCCTATTTCATCCATGGGGGCATGGGCGGCAGCACGCACTCCCTGGCGCACACCTCTCGGTCGTCCCCAGCCACGGTATGTTGGAGGCCCTGCCCTGCCAGGGTCCAGCGGGGGAGAGCCTGTAACCACATTGGTATTTCAAGACAGCAGCAGGCAGGCCCAGTGAGTAAGGAGCAGTGTGCTGGCGTCCAGGCTCTGAGCTGGAGTCCTGTCCTCATCTCCCAGGCATGCTGCCCCAGCATACATCTCCCTTGGAGAAAAGGAGAGAATAAGTCAGGATAAAATCACAGGCTAATTGTGAATTTTTAATGTGTTAAGCAGTCCCACCCCACCCCCCACCCCCAGGTAGAAAGTGCTGCTGCTGCTGCTTTTGGATTACCAATGTGATCACTCACTTCTCAGAAGCTCAGATCAGTCCATCTATATATAAAGAGTGAGGCTGAATTCAGTAAGAGGAAATTCTCCTAAGAACTGTATTCAGTTCTTCTCTCCATGCCCTTGTCCAAAATAATAACTGTTTTAAAATCTCATGCTGACTTTTCTTTTTAAAAATAGTGTGGCATGAAATGCACTCTTCTGGGTGACGGCCCTAAGAATTTTAGACCATGTACAGATTTGGGTGACTGCCCCACAGCCAGGAAGCCCCATCACCCATGGTCTGCGACAACCACCCATCCATTCTCCAACACTTTTTTTGGGTGTTTTTTTAAAAAATTCATATTTTAATGGAAGTTTATAAAGAACTTGGATTTCCATTCATTCATTGTTGCAAATTTTCTTCCCTGCCCACCTCTCCCCTCCCCCCCCCCAGTTTGCTTTTTTCTTTGGAAAAAAAGTTCTTTCATTGTTATACAGTCCTTCCCTCTCCAGACAACTTTACTATGCAGATCTTATTCTGGACTCTTGTCATACCAATAATACCAAATCATATGTTCCTTTTTTACAGTTCTCTCCCTCATCTGTTTCAATGCTGTGTACATTATTGATCCCCTCTTTTCTTAGTTTCCCCCCAACTCCCGTGTCAGTCCTGTTCTGTAACGGTGGCACCATGCAGTATTTGTCTTTTTGTGACTGAGATACTTCACTCAGCATAATGTCCTCCATGGTCACCCATTTTGTATAATATTCATGAGGGTTTTGTTTTTCAGTGTTGCATACTATTCCATTGTGTGGATATACCACAGCTTCTCTATCCATTCGTTTGTTGATGGGTACTTGAGTTGTTTCCAACTCTTTGCTATTGTGAACAAAGCTGCAATAGACATGGGTGGCAGTTCTGGTTTCTTTAGGACATATTCCCAGTAGTGGAATTTCTGGGTCAAATGGTATTTCTGTTTCCAAATCTGACCATGTGTGGAGGCTCTCAACCATGTGCCTTTGTGTTTCATTTGAAGCTAAGGATGCGAAACAGCTTTCTGTTTGCTGTGTGCCTTCCACGTAGGTTCTTGGGTCACCTTCGAGCCGGCTGCTTGTTTTGGTTGATTTGTTTGCTTTTACTATGGTTGGTTGGTTGGCTTAGAGTTTTGAAAATTGCTTCTATATTCTGGATACACTGTGTACACTGGTGGCATGGTGGGTGAAGCATTGAGCTGCTGACTGCAAGGTCGGTGGTTCAAATCCACCAGCCAGACTGCGGGAGGAAGATTCCTTCCAAAGCCCTTTGGGGAAGTTGTGCACCGCCCTGTGGGGTTACTGCGAGTCCCAGTGAACTGGACAGCCATGGGCGTGGTGTTTCGGGTGAGGTGTACGACTTGTAAATATTTCCTCCCAGTTTTTCCTGATTTTGTATCCAGGGTGGGTGAGCCCAAATCTCACGAGGCTCACGTCTAAGGCAAGCTCAGGCTGTATTTTATTCTAAAACGGGTTTGTTTGCTCGTCCCTCTTGTGGGCCGCTGTGTACTCAGTCGCCTTTGCCAACACCACATGCACACAAAAGTTGGTTACTTCCCAAAATGTGAGGGAGAGCTGAAAATCGGCACCTCGGGAAGTCCACATCGCCGCCAAGAGCTTCCTCAGCGTGGCACCAGCAGCTGTGGGGTTGGGAACGATATCAGCAAAGGGGACTTTCCAGCGCTGTTTCACAGAGTGTGTCAATATTTGGAAGATCGACAAACTCTGTAAAGCAGTATTTTGCAGACCAATGTTTGCTACAAATTCATCTGTGTGGGCAAAAAAAATCCACTTTCATTTCAAAAGATGGATCTTTTCATTTGTTACATGTGTATGTGTGTGTACTAATTTTTATTCGTTTGCTGTGGATTCTTTGAGAATTTCTGTGTATACGAGAACATGGATTCTGCAAATATAAATAGCTTGACTGCCATCTTTTTCCTAGTTGGATGTCCATTATTTCTCTTGCCTGTGTAGTGACCACACTGCTGGCTGGCACCTCCTGTACAATGACATACAAGTGGCAAGAACAGAGGTTCCCGTCTGGCCCCTCGTCTTAAATAGGAAGTGCTTGGCTTTTCACCATCCAGGAGGGTGAACGCACTCTCAAGCCTGGCTAAGTGAGAACTGACGCATAGCTGCCCTCCACTGATTTCTGAGGCTGTAAATCACATGGGAGTGCATTTCTCCTTTTACTCCCTTGATCTGCTGGTGGATTCAAGCCAGTGAGGCCACCAGCACTCCTTTCAGAAAACATTGCTTTTCCTTATTACTTGCTACGCATCAGAAAGTGGGACAATGACTAAGGATGACAGAAAAAGAGTCAATACCTTTAAGTTGTGGTACTGGGAAGACTCCTGAACATACCATGGACTGCCAAGAAAACAAACAGGTCTGTCTTGGAGAGGGCTAAACCAAGTTTTTCCTTGGAGGCTAGGATTTTGAAGCTCCATCCCACATACGTTGGGCACATGGCCAGGAGAGACTGGTCCTTGGAGAAGGACAGCATGCTCGGAAGGGTGGAGGGAAAGTGAAGTGAGGAAGACCCTGGATGAGATGGATTGATACTGTAACTAGGGCAGTGGGGGTAGGTGTGTCAGAGTCAGTGAGATTGGCACAGGAGAAGACAAGAGTTCAAGCGACTCAACAGCATATAACAAAAAGAACAACATACCAACCAGTAATTAGGGTATTAGTATTTTTAAATTAATCAGTACGTAAATGTCCTTACTTTTTGTGCTTAAGTTTCTAATTTGAATGATTGATAGATTTCACTCTCAGAAACACATTTTTTAGAGGGAAGAGAAGACAGTTCCAAGATAATTTCTAATAGTGGAAAACCAAGATCCAAACCCGTTGCCAGGCTTTCTGAAGCTGTAAATGTTTACAGGAGGAGCCTGCCCATGTGACTTCTGCAGAGCTGCTGGTGGACTTGAACTACCAACCTCTGGATTAGCAGTCCAGCACACAATGCACTACGTCACAGGGTTCCATTCAGTGTAAAGGGGTCAAACCCCAAAGCAAACCTCCTGCTGGGAGTGGGCATTAATGCAACAGGACCTCACAGCAGTGATAGCTGAGGGTGGGGTCGACGCCAGGGGCCTCACAGGTGGCAGTGGAGTCCCGGTGGAAGGGGCTGCAGTGCTCTCTGAGTACCCCACCCAGGCTTCTCCCCGCATAGTGGGGCCTGGGGTGGCAGGAATGATATACCTGTGGGTGCTCACCTGACGGAATGCCAGCTCAGAGCAGATGCCCACAAGGCTGGGGAGACATATGTCTTCTCTTTAGAGTAGGCTGCCCTCCCCCCCTCACTGTCCCGCACCAGGGCTGGTCCCCACCCTCCCCAGGGCCTGTCTGCAACGCGCCCTGTTGAAGGGGCAATGGGGCTCACTTCTCAGGTTCCCCTCAGTGTTCCTCAGGCCAGACCCACTCGTCTTAGTGCCCTAGTTTCCTCAGTGCTGCCGAAACACACATGCAAGTAGGAAACTTTGGAGAGTAACATTCTGGAGGCTGGATGTCCACCCTCACGCATGTGCTCAGGTCCTTCTCGCCTCTTACAGCTTCTGTAGCTGTGTGGAGGCTGACGTCCCCCCTCACGCGTGTGCTCTACGGGCAGGCCCTCCTCGTCTGTTGCAGCTTCTGTAGCTACAGCAACCCTTTCTCTGCTGGCCAATTCACCTGCTCCCTCTTCCTGGGACAGCGTCTGTCTTTCCCACCCCTTTTCCCCTTCACCCCTTGTGTGTCTCTGTGTCTCTGCTGCTCTCTCTGTCAAATCAAAAGGTATTCCCTGCAGAATGGGCCCCACATGGGGTGGGACACGCAGCCAAGCCCTCCTCTACCAGCAGGTGGGCCTGAGCTTTCTTGGTGAGTTTTGGGATTGCTGATTCAGAGCTTCCTAGAGACGGTCTTGAAAACACTGTGAAGCAGACCTACCCCGGCCCACCCGGGGTCCCAGCAAAGACACCAGTGTAACCTTAACTGACTGATCACGTTAGATCAGATCACACTTGGACAGCCATTACATTACATTACATTGTGGACAATGATGGCATTGCATTGCTTTGCATTGCATTATGGAAGGTACATTACAGTAGAGTACAATACAGAGTAGTCCAGTACATTGTGAGCAGTTATCACATTCCACCACATTGCATTGCATTATGGGAGGTGATTACAGTACATCACATTATGGAAGGAATTACATTGCATCATTACATCTGATGGAAGCTGATTTATGGAAGGTGATTACATTACGGCATTCTGTGTTCTGGAAGGTGACTGCCCCATGTCACATTGCATTGCATTATAGAAGGTGATTACTTGACACTATGTTGTGGAAGCTGATTGCATTATGCCACATTGCATTGCATTATTGTTGAAACATTGTATTACTAAAGTATTGTATTCTGGAAACTATACATTGCTTTATAGGAGATGATTACATTATGGCAGTTCATTATAGAAGGTGACATGTTGTATCACATTATGGAAGCCAGTGACATCATGCTATGTTACATCCACAAGCACAGAGATTAGGACTCTGACTTTACCTTGAAGGGGCCTAGTTCAGTCCTTAACACCACTCTTCCAGTAGATTTTTCTTGGAGGGAACACTCATGCCCCCTTTAGCTTCTAGCATACTGGGTTAATGAGAAGCAGGAGAACACTGGTGTTAGAGGAGAAGTGTCACTGCAGAGTAGAAACCGTTACTGTCCCCCGATGCTCGGTGTGGAGAAAGATCCATTTAGAACTGGCTCACATGACGGGGGCTGGTAGAGTCGGGAACCTTGGGCCAGGGCTTTGCCAACAGGATGGGCCAACAAGGAAGTAAATGCCACCCACTGTCATTGGAGGAGTCCTTGGCACAAATGCCTGAGTACATGGCCCCTAATTGCAAGATTAGAAGTTTGAATCCCTACAGGGGCACCTCGACCTCTTCCAGAGACCCTGGAGCCAGCTTGACTTACAATGCATGTGTTTTCAGGAGTCAGAATTGACTCAAGAGCAGTGCTTGATGTTTTGTTTGAATTCTACTCAGTACAGGCCATCTAATTCTCCCCAGAACAGAGAACTAGGCCTGGGAGTCGGTCTTAGTTTGCTAGGTCTGCTATAGACAGAATACACCCACTCCTCACTTACCAACTAGTTAAATTCCAAATATCAGCATTATATAAACACAAAGGATGATCACATCAGATCACAAAATGGAGGTGACTGCATTGTTATATTACTGCCAGATTACATCATCACATAGCTTCCAGATTAAAACATCACATAACTGCCAGATTACAGCACCCCATCACTGCCAGACCACAGTGTCACATCACTGCCAGACTAAAGAGTCACATCACTGCCAGATTACATCCTCACATAACTGCCAGACTACAGCATCACATAACTGCCAAATTACATCATTACATAACTGTCAAATGACGTAATTATCAAATAAAATCATTATGTGGCCACCAAACCGTGAATCATGGCCTGGACAACTTGACATGTAACTATCACAGGCATCGTTACTCCCTCCCCCTAAAACCAACCTTAGTGTTTATTACTGGCAGACATACACCATTGATGTGCAAAATAGAGTTGGTTTTTATTAGTGCCATAAATAGGAAGTGTCAGCTAACGAGAGAGTCAATATGTGGAAATAGGTGCACCACAAAATCAGTTGTTTTAAGGAACAGAAATTTACCGTCTGAAACTTAGAAGTCTGAGTCTAGGGTTTGACGAGGCTGTGCCCCCCTGCCAGCTCTGGGTTAAGACCTTCCCCAGCTCAGCTTCTGCAGCCCCAGAGCGGCCCTGCCTTGTGAGGGAAGCTCACAAGAGCCTCTCCATGTCTGTTCACCCCTTCCCTAAATCCCATTCAGAAAGCCAGGATTCAACCCACGATTTCTAACTGAGAGTATTTACTGTCCAGGAAAGTCCCTATTTCCAAACAAGGTCACTTAACCCTGCTTACACTGGAGTTTACAAAGTGGTACCCTGCCCACATGTCACAGTGCACACGGGCACGCAGGCTGTTAACAGCATTTTCATGATATGTTACATGCTCTGCTGCCCCTCAGAGCAGCCCCCAGGAGAGGGGGTGTGTGATGAAAGGACCATCCCATTGGGACCTGTGGACCAGCTTCCGCTCGCCGCACCTCCCATCCCCGCCTGTGTCCAGTCTCCTGTGTGTCTGATGTCATGATTTGGATATTAATAAAAATCACACCTTGGCTGATGCTAACCATCTGATTCCCTTTTTCCCCCCCTTCTTCTTCTATTTTGTTTTGTTCTCTGCACACATGTTCTGTAGCTTGAAATGGCGATTGAAAACCTCCAAAAAAGTGAAGGGATTACATCACACAAAAGCGGTTTACTCAACAGCCATGTAAGTGTGTGCCCGCCGGCGAGCCTGCCCACTGCGCCGCGCCCCGGGGGACGCCAGGCAGCCCCACACCCGCCCCGGGGACCCCAGGGCTTGAGAAAGCGGGGAAATCGACTTCCTGGCAGCACAAGGCACATTCGGGACAGCAGCCGAACCCGGGGCCCTTTAACCCCACACTCAGCTGTGACGTCTCCTGCCCTGCCCTCCCTGGGCAGCTTGGGGACAAGGTGGCACCTGAAGTCACTGGTGACAGAGCTTGATTTCTGGGGACAGTTGCGAAGGGAAGCTGAGTGTCTCCTTTAGCTCCTTCACTCTCACCTCACCTTGATGCCAAAACTGGAACACTGGGCTTGAGAGACAGGCCAGGCCACTGAAGTTGGGGTACTGTATCCAAAGCCACGGTTTAGCCCTGATGCTGGACTTGTTCTCCTGGGAACTCAAGGGGTCCCCTATAGTCAGACACAATCCTGAAGCCCCACAGCACTTCAAGGGGTCACCAGAGAGACACCCCGAAGTGGGGACAGTCTGTGCCCAGGAAGATGGTGGCTGTGGGAGCCACGTGGGCAATCAGCTGTCTTGTTTTGGGTCCTGTGAGATGCTGGGCAGTCAGCTCTGTCCTACATGGTTGGGTCAGCGTGAGGCAGCGTCAGCTCCCCAGCAGTGGGCTGGCTTGGGGCCCATGAGCCCCTGAGGGAGGCCCCCGACCACAGCAGCCCTGTGTCCATGCGCGACACCAGGGGCCCTGGTGAGGCAGGACTGAAGCACTCAGCTGCTGACCAAAAGGCCAGGAGTTCGAAAACAGCGGCCACTCCAAGGGAGAGAGACATGGCAGTCTACCTCAGTGGGGACTGACCTCGGATGAGGCAGAGAGACGTGGTGGTCCGCCTCAGGGATGACCTGCCGCCTTGGATACCGTGTGGGTTCTGCTCCACCCTACAGACCCCAGAGGGCTGGTTTTTAATAGGAAATGCATGTGCACTTGGACCCCTGGGAGCCACATGTCCAGCTGTCTTCCTTCTTATTTTTCTGGGGTTTTATTGTAAATTGAGTGAGAGTTTACAACACAGATTAATGTTCAGTCCTGCGTTCACACGTTTTGTTCTAGCACTAACCTCAGCATCCACCGTACATGGCACTTTTCCCGCTTCCTCCCTGTGTTTCTGGTTCCCACTCGTCCCTCTGGGCCTCCCATTTCTTTAGTGCCCTTGTGCCTGTTGCCTCTTGGTTGTATATGACCTTTCCCTTCATCCATCTTCACATGCGTCTTTTCTCTGTTTACACGATTTTACCCTCTGCTCCCTCCTCCCATCCCTGATGGACGGGCCTTCTAGGCTGCTTCCCTCACAGGACATCACTGTCCACTTTTCCAGCAGGGACCGCGTCTGTCCCCTCTCCTGGGATGCGCCGTTGTCTTCTCCTGTGAGGAACTGCAGTGAGAAGGTTCAAGAAAAAGAGCCCGGGTGCCGCAGCCAGTTTGTGCCCTGGCTCCTAACTCACAGGCTGGGGGTTCAGACCCACCTAGTGATGCCACGGAAGAAAGGCCTGGCAGTCGTGGGGTGCCATGAATCAGGCTTAGCAGAAAGGGGTTTCTTCTGTTTTGTTGCTGAAGCGAAGAGCTGTGCACACTGGAGTGGACATGAGGGGAGCGTCACCCAGCCCCGTGGGCTGATGACCATCCTCTGTGTCACAGGTTGGCTGTCCCCCAGCTGCCATGGCTAGCATCGTCCCAGTTAAGGGTAGCAGCAGAATTCTGGAAGTCTTACAGGAGAGGGACCAGAAGCCCTGGTGGCAGGTGGAGCACGTTAACACGTTGGTGGTTCAAATCCACCAGATGCTCCTTAAAAGAATGCCGGACAGTCTCCCAGGAAGGTCTGCAGCCTCCGGAACCTGACGGGTGGTAGGAGGGTCACCACACTCAGAACTGACTCACCTGCACTGGATTTGGGGGTTTTAGGGTGAGACAGTCACAGCCACACCCCAGCTCCGCCTTACTGGAACTTGCTCCCAACAGAGTGAGGAGGCTACATCCCTGAGGGAATGTCCACAACCTTCTCTGTCCAGGCCCAGACGCCACATCCCCTCCCCAGCTAGCTCCCCGGGGGGCTGATCAGCACAGGAACCAAAGGAGGTGTGGACACTCACTCCAGGGCCACCAGATCCAGGTAGAAACCCCGCCTGGTTACCCTGGTGACACGTGGTGAGCACAGCTGACCAGCCACTGGTCGGGGGAATGGAGCTAGGACAGGAGGAGCCTTGGGGGCTCAGAACTTTCGTGACCCAGCAGACAGACACTACATCAGGTCACTGGAGTCTTCTGACCACTGCTGCCCCAAAGCTTAGCCAGGCTCCGCAGGCCACCAGTGAGAGTGGAGGTCGCCCTGTTGGGAGGGTCGCTCCCCCCACCGCCTGTCGTTGCCATGTTTGCCAGGCGTTTCTGGGATGTGACTGGGGTAATGAGAACTGGGCTCACTTTTCTAGAGGAAGGAAGGGGAGACGTTGGCTGTGCTGGGCACACTGCATCTGCCTGGTGTCACATTGTTGTCTCCTGGGGTGCAGCACCACCTGAGGAAAGTTGGGCCCAAGCTGCCATCTAGAGCAGAGGGGCCTGGAGCCTCTGGGGGTGCCCCTGCCCCTCTCCAGCACCCCCCCAGGGCGGCTGCTCTGCAGTCCTCCCTGCCCCCCAGATCTTCCCAAGAGCCTTAGCCCTTTGAAGACTCAGAGACCCCTGGCAAGTCCTGCGCCCCCATCCCAGGAGGAACTGCCATGTGTTAAATTCACCTGACATCATGCCAGTGCCCTGGGCAGGTGGTGGGTGTCGGATGCTCCGAGATGAAGTCTGCATGTTGCCCGTTGTTGTTGTTGTTGTTGTTGTTGTTGTTGTTATGTGGCGTCAAGTCGCCTGTGACTCATCGCGACCCTACATACAACAGCTCTGAACCCTGCTCTATCCTGAGCCAACCTCACTGTGTCCAACACTCCTCTTCAGCAAGAAGCACACATTGCTGCTCGCAGTGCCGCCTGTAGATCAGGGCCAGGAGTGCCGAGGAGGGCCAAGGAAGGCTGGGGGGAGGGCCAGGGAGGGTTAGAGAAGGTTAAGGAGACTGGAGGGGAACAGAGAGCACAGAGGAGGGCCAGGGAGGGTCAGGGAAGGCTAAGGAGACGGCGGCAGGGGGCAGGGAGCACAGAGGAGGGCAGGGGAGGGTCAGGGAAGGCTAAGGAGACAGGGGTAGGGGGCGGGGCAGGGAGCACAGAGGAGGGCCAGGGAGGGTCAGGGAAGGCCCACCGAGGAGGGCCAGGGAGCATCAGGAAGGGACAGGGAGGAATGGGGAAGTCCAGGAGTGCCGGGGAGGGCCAGGGAAGGCTGGGAAGTGTCAGGGAGCAGCAAGGTAGGCCAGGGAGTACACAGGGGGGGCCGGGAAGGATCAAGGAAGGCTGAGGAGACCATGGAGGGCTGGGGAAGACCACCAGGAAAGGCACTGGTTACACAAATTTGCTCTGAGACACAGGGACAGGCTGCTGAAACTGGTGCTGGATGCACTGTGAACTTCCCTTTTCTTTCCACATTTTCCCATCATGCACTGCAGGCTGGACTGGGGAGTCACAGGAGAGAGAAGGGAGCATTAGGTGGCCAACACCTTCTTTATGCCTCCATATGCCCAGCACCACCATTGCCTCCGCAGAACGGCCACCAGAGGGCGAGCTGTGACTACAGATCATTAGCACTGTCTGCTCGGAATCCCCCACGCTCACCCCAGCCAAGCAGCAGCCATGATTATCACAACAGCCCCCAGGGCCCTGCACGCCCTGCCCCAACTCTGCTCTGCTCTCCTCTGCCCCGTCTCCCTCTGCTCCGGTTACACAGGTCTTCTCACAGCTCCCCAGATCAAGTCCTGCCCCAGGGCCTTTGCACAGGCTGTTCCCTCCACCAGGAATACTCTTCCCTCCAGACCTACCTATGGCCAACTCTCCTCTAGCCTTCCACCTCCTCCAAGAAGCCTTCCTGATTTTCCTTATATAGCTAATTTCTGCTCCTTCCTTGCCCTCCTCTTCTCCTCTCTCCCCAATGCGCTTTGTTCATCGTGTCCCAGGGCTGTGCTGAGCCTTCCACCAGGAACACCCTTCCCCTGGTACCTCGCTCCCCCACTTCCTTCAAGCCTTTCTGCCCTCAGCACTGCTCACCAAGCCCTCTCTCCATGACCCTGGTTTCCAAGCCCAGTGCTCTCATCAGCCACCACACACTTGCTCAGAGCACTTACTCGCCTCTCAGTCTGTCCTCCCACAGAACAGAGGCTTCTCAAGGGCAGGGATTCATGTTTGTCTTCACCTTGTGTCCCTGCACCCAGGACAGAGCCCAGCAGAGCCAATGCTTTGTGAGTGTAGAGTGGATGGATGGATGGATGGAAGAATGGATGGATGGATGGATGGATGGATGGATGGATGGATGGATGGAAAGATGGAAGGATGGATGGATGGATGGATGGATGGATGGATGGATGGATGGATGGAAGGATGGATGGATGGATGGAAGGATGGATGCATGGATGGATGGATGGAAGGATGGATGTATGCATGGATGGATGGATACATGGATGTGGATGGATGCATGGATGAATGGATGGATGGATGGATGGATGGATGGAAGGATGGATGCATGGATGGAAAGATGGATGCATGGATGCATGGATGGAAGGATGGATGGATGGATGGAAGGATGGATGGATGGATGGATGGATGGATGGATGGATACATGGATGGATGGATGGATGGATGGATGGAAGGATGGATGCATGGAAGGATGGATGGATGGATGGATGGATGGATGGATGGATGGATGGATGAATGGATGGATGCATGCATGGATGGAAAGATGGAAGGATGGATGGATGGGTAGATGGATGATGGATGGAGAGCCGAGTGTTGAGAGCATGCTCAAAGCAGGCAAATGCTGCCCTCAGTAGAGTACCTGGCTCCCAGCTCCCACAGGAATCTAGCTCACCATTCACAGATGGGGGACTGATGTCCGGTTTAGACCCCTGGGAGCTGGGCAGGGTGGCACAGTCTGGACTCAAAGCCCCACCTGGTCATGAAAGGCGCTTGGCCCTGGAACCCAGTTCTGTTCTGACTCATGCGAGGCTCCATGGGTCGGAGGCTGCTCCTTGCTGCATGCTGCTAACAACGAGGTTGGAAGTTTGGGTTCATCTAGGGGTGTCTCAGAAGAAAGAGGGCAATCGACCTCTGAATGTCAGCCCCCCCCATGGGGCACAGTTTCCTCTGAGGAACACTGAGGTCACAGTGCCAGGGATTGTGTCACCAGCCTCCTATGTGGTAGGAAGGATAGCTTGCCTAGGAAATCATTGATCCTTGTGACATCATCAGAGTTAGGCAAAAAATTCTGCTTTCCATTTCAATAGTAAGGAGGGCGCTCTGGTGGCGTGATATCAAGGAAGGCGGCTTTCTAATCCATCCCACGTGATTTAATCCATCCCCTGTGGGATTTACAGCCTCTAAAAGTCTGCTGGAGAGGCAGCTACGAGTTGGCTCCGACTTCACGGCCGGGTGAAGAGGTACATGTGCCTTGAGGCCCAGGCTGGTGCTGGGTCTGTTCCCAAGGCCCCGGAGAGCAGGTAGCAGGAGCCTGCAGGTCTCGGGCTTTCTTATCCAGGCTCCATCCAACCCACCTATAAAATCAGGGCTTGTGTGCTGGCCTGCTGCCTGGTCCTGCTGGGAAGGAAGGTGGTCAAAGTCAAGGTGGAGGGCTCGGGGCTCAGGCCCCAGCTCGGGAAGAGGGTCCCACTTTGCATCAGCCATGGGCATGCTCCTCACACAGGTGGCTCCTCACGGGCCTCTCCGGGGTGTGTGCCTCTGTGTTATTTTCCCCATTTGTTACACCCCTCAGAGGAGATGAGGTGTGGAATCTACGCTGCTCCGGTGTGACCCTATGTCCTCCTCCTAGACTTCCCAGCTGCACGCATGCTCAGCTCCCAGTCCGAAGGCAGAGAGAGCACAACCCAGTGTGTGCATCGTGGCCGGGGGCGGGGTGGGGGGAGGAACGGGCCATGTGCCTGCGGGCCAGGAGTCACCCATGGCTCAGGGATTCACTGACTTCAAGGCGGAGGACCTGGTGTGCGGTGCACGCTTTAGCGTGCTCAGCCTCCAACCTAAAGGTCAGCTCTGAATCACAGGCGCGTTGGAGGAAAGGCCTGGCAGTCTGCTTCCGAGAACTCAGCCATGACAGCCCCACAGAACAGAGTTCTGCTCACACGCACAGTGGATTTAAGTGCAGGCAGCCTTGCTGGCGGCCATGGTGCCCCTCAAAGTCTGCATTCTCCTGGACTGAAGAGTGACTTCCAGTCCTTCAGACTCGGTCACTCCCAGGGTGGTGCAGACAGCTGTCTGACCCTCTGTCCAAAGGGCTGGGCTTGAAACCCACCCTGAGGGGCCTCAGAGAGCAGGCCTGGCCACCTGAGTCCTAATGACCCTGAAGGTCCCGGTCCTGAACCCCCTGCGGGGCAGCTGTCCCCTGCACAGGACTGGTGGGGGGGTCACCAGGAGCCAGAACAGGCACAGGGGCCACCACACAGCCAGGCCTAGCCAATGGTGGCCACACCATCAAACGGTCATAAAGAGAGAACCTGAATGGATCACGGTCATATGCAAGTTTTTGTAGCTGAAGCCGCAGCCAAGGAGCCTGGAACATGGCAGCGCGCGGGTGGAGGACAGGCATGCAGGGGTGGAGTACCGCGAGCGTGGGTAGAGGACGGGCATGCAGGGGTGGAGGACGGCGCGCGCGGGTGGAGGACGTTGCGCACGGGTGGAGGATGTGTGCACGCAGGTGGAGGACGGCGGGCGCGGGTGGAGGATGGGCGCGCACGGGTGGAGGACCGCACGCGTGGGTGGAGGATGGGCGCACGCAGGTGGAGGACGGCGGGCGCGGGTGGAGGACGGCGGGCGCGGGTGGAAGATGGGCATGCAGGGGTGGAGGACCATGAGTGTGGGTGGAGGACGGGTATGCAGGGGTGGAGGACCGCAAGCGTGGGTGGAGGACCGCAAGCGCGGGTGGAGGACGGGCATGCAGGGGTGGAGGACCTCGAGCGTGGGTGGAGGATGGCATGCCTCAGTGGATGCACCCTGGCTGCTGTAGGCAGCGGGGGCTCTGGAGACGAGCGGGGCCTGGTGCAAGGCCCAGCTGGCCCCTTAGCAGAGGGCTGCCCTGAGGATCCAGGACGACTGCCCTGGGGGCCCAGGAGGGCTGCTCTGAGGGTCCAAGAGGGCTGCTCTGAGGGGAGGGCTACTCTGAGGGCCCGAGCGCCCACGCCGGCCTCTGACGAATGGGCACCTGTCTCCTGTCCAGCTCCAGTGGCTGCTGGAGAACTACGAGACGGCCGAGGGCGTGAGCCTCCCCCGGAGCTCCCTGTACAACCACTACTTGCGACACTGCCAGGAACACAAGCTGGACCCCGTCAACGCCGCCTCCTTCGGGAAGCTCATCCGCTCGGTGTTCATGGGCCTGCGGACGCGGCGCCTGGGAACCAGGTGGGTGCTGGGCAAGCCCGGGGCCAAGGGGTCAGGGCCTCCTCCTGTACACTGTCCTGACCCTGGTTGCGCCACACACACACACACACACACACACACACACACACACACGTGTTAGCCAGGCCCCAGGCCCAAAGGCCTTGAGCTCAATGACTGACTGAAAAGTTGCCTCTTTAGACCCACCAAGAAGAGCCTTGGAAGAAAGGCCTGGCAATCAGCTTCCAGAAGGTCACAGGCTGGAAAGCCCCATGGGTCATTTCTACTCTGCACACACAGGCCAGCCTGGAGTTAGAGCGATTCCTAGCCATTAAAAATAGGCCACCTCGGGAGGAAGAGGGAGGAACAAAGGCCTGGTGACCTGGTTCTGTAAAGACGGCAGCTGTGCAAATCCCCCGGGGTTCAGTGCTACCCACAGCACCGGGTGGGGTGGGAGTGGGCTCAGCGGCTGGGGGTTTGGGTTTGGGTTTGGCCATGGTGCCAGCATCACCACAGCCCGTTCTCCCCTCTGGGTGCTGACACAGGCTTCTGGTGGCCTCATCTGTAGGGAGTTAACTGTGGTGGTGGTGGTGGTGTGCTGTCGAGTTGGAACCCACTCGTGGCTGACCCTTCAGAGGGTTTTCAGACACTGTAACTCACGCAGGACAAAATTCCCCATCTTCCCCCAAAGCAGCTGGTAGATTCAAACCAAGCACTTTTTGGGTTGGCAGCACAACTCCTTACCCACTGTACACAGAGCCCGCAGGTAGACGGATACACACGTGTTACATGCACACGTTGTGACCCGTACGTGGAAGCTCTGGTGGCGGAGTCTGCAGGGAGGCGCTCTGCCAACCGTAAGACCGTGCGTCTGTGGTAGTTCGAATCCACTAGCTGCTCTGCAGGAGAAAGGTGGCCAGTCCCTTCCTGAGCCGTCCACTGCCTTTGAAAGGCCATGGGAGGGCCCTGTGGGCTGGTTCTGGCCCAATGATACTGGGTTGGGGTTGGAGGATGCTGGTCTAGGGCTTGGGGCACAAGTCTGTTCTCTCTCTTCCTTTAACATTTTCTATAATAGTGAGGCTGTTTTAAAGGCAGGGTTTCTTGGTTGCCTGAGTCCCAGGGTGATACAAATAGTTCGCTCCCCACGAGATTTGAGTCTATGCAGACTGAGGCAGCGCAGAAGTAGGCCTGGTCATCTCCTTCCAAGCACCAGCAGAGACGACTGTGGGGCATGATTCTGCAGACACAGGTTCCTCAGGAGTCAGGACTGGCCCAGTAGCAACAGGGATTTGAGTTCAGCAAAATCAACTGACCAGGGCCCTCTCTGCAGGACTTCTCGGAGCCTTTATGATACCAAAATTCAAGCAGTGACTCTTCAGGGGGCAGGGCAGGATTTGTGCCCCTTGTCCAGCTCGGAACAGCCCCGGAACATCTGCCTGAGAGCCCCCATGAAGTGCAGAGCTGATCCCAGGTCTTGCTTTCCAGGGGCAACTCCAAGTATCACTACTACGGGATCCGCCTGAAGCCAGACTCGCCGCTGAACGGGCTGCAGGAGGACACACAGTACATGGCCATGCGGCAGCAGCCCGTGCACCAGAAGCCCAGGTGGGTGGCTGGCCCGGGGGCGCAGGGGCTCAGACACTGGATTGTGGGGGCAAACCACTCTTTTCTTAGAGACACAGCCACATCTGGTCTCCAGCGTCTGAAAGCTGAGACACCTGCGTCCATACAGACAGACCTGAGAACAAGAGAGTGTGTGCGTGTGTGTGCGTGTGTGTGTGTGTGTGAGAGAGAGAGAGAGAGAGAGAGAGAGAGAATGTATATGGATGTAAGAGAGAAAGAATGTGTGTCTGAGAGTTTGCGTATGTATGTGTGTCCCTCCCCTAGACACAGCTCTCTACACAGACCAGTGAGTGTGTGTGTGTATTGTGTGCTGTCTACTCCAATTTATTGTGACCGTTAGTGAATAGTACTGTCTTAGGCTGTTACAGACAGTGCGCGTGTGTGTTTATACACAAACGTGTACACACAGAGCAAACCCCTAAGAGGCATCAATGGATAAAACAGCTGCTAATAGAAAGGTTGGCAGTCTGAGAGCGCCCAGAGGAAAGAGCTGCTCAACTCACAAAAACTCAGCCATTGAAGGCCCCGTGGAGCTCACCTCTACTCTGACACGTGTGGAGTGCATGAGGTTCAAGTGGTGGTGGTGTTATGTGCCGTCGAGTCACCTCTGACTTGGAGCGCCCTGAAACCTGCCTGTCCTGAGCCAGTCTCACTGATTAAGGCACACCAATCCCCATTGCCTTAATTACTGTATCACTCCATCTCGCCCGGAATCTTCCTCTCCTGCGCTGTCCCTCCACCATTCTGAGCATGATGTCCTTCTCCAAGGACCAATCCCTCCTGGCCATGTGCCCAAAGTATATGAGAATCCTTCAGAATCCTAGCCTTCACGGAGAAACTTGGTTTCACCCTCTCCAAGACAGACATATTTGTTTTCTTGACAGTCCATGGTATGTTCAAGACTTTTCTCCAGCAGCACAACTCGAGGGCATTGATTCTTCTTCTGTCATCCTTAGTCATTGTCCAGCTCTCTGATGCATAGCAAGTAATTGCAAAGACCATGGCCTGTATCAGGTGCACCTTAGTCTCGAGACTGACATTGTTGCTTTTTAATACTCTGGAAAAGTCCCTGACAGCAAATTTTCCCAGTGCAATTTGTCTTTTGATTTCCTGACTGCTGGTGCCAAGAGTGTTGATTGTGGAGCTGAGCAAGCTGTAATTGCTAACAGCCTCAATCTCTTCTCCATCTATGATGGTGCTTCCAATTGGCCCAGTGGTGAGAATCTTTGTCTTCTTGATATTGTTTCAATCCATATTGAAGACTACAGTCCTTGACCTTCTGCAGCAAGTGCTTCAAGTCCTTCTCACTTTTAGCAAGCAAGGTTGTGTCATCTGCATAACGCAGGTTGTTGATGAGTCTTCCTCCAATCCTGATGCCACGTTCCTCCTCATAAAGCTCAGCTTCCCAAATGATCTGTTCTGTGTATAGATTGAAAGGATATGGAGACAAGATGCATCCCTGATGCACTCCTTTCCTGATTTTGAGCCATACAGTATTTCTTTGCTCTGTTCTAAGGACTTCCAGGTCCAGCTATAAGGTTCTGCATAAGCACGATCAAATGCAATACCATTTTCCACAAGGTTAGCCACAATTTGTTGTGATCCACACAGTCAAATGCTTTTGCATAGTCAGTGAAACACAGATAGACATTCCTCTGGTGTTCTATATGTTTATACACACATATGTCCAGAAGGGGTGGGTTCACTTCAAGAAGTGACTCACAAGAGTTGAATGGGGGAAGGGTGGGTCCCAAATCTGTAGGTCAGAGGACAGACAGGCTGGGTTTGCCTGCAGGCTTGTGTCCCAGAATCCACTGGTCAGGGAATGGGGGACTGAGGAATGTCCTGGGGAAACGTCTATCTCCAGTCTGGAGGAACACAGCCCTGGAAACTCCCTTTGGGCTCTTTAAGATTTTCCGCCCAATTGGACAGGGCCCACCATGTTTCGGAGGTGGGACTGCCTTACCTGAGGACGACTGAATCACACTGATCTACTTCATAACCACAGCTAGAAAGGATCTGCCTCATGACTGGGCACCAGCGCTGAGGCACACTGGCACAGGAATGCCCCCGCCCCACGGTGAATACCACTGCAGACAGAGAAATCAGTGAAAACTAGACACATGCAATGGTCCGGAGAGTTACTCCAGGTAGCCTGTGTCAGGAGGAAGGTGCTTAAGTAACTGCTGCTGCCCGAGCCTTTGAGCCTGGAAAGACCTGGAAAGACCTGGTCATTTTCTGGGATGTTCTTCACAAAGCTCCTCGGAAATCAGTGGACTTTTGCTGTAAAGCACCAGACTGTCAGTGTTTTTGACTTTGCGGCCCTGACCGTCTTTGTTGCCAGAGTTAAAGCCTGCCATGGTAGCACAGAAGCAGCTATAGAAGATGATAGAGCTGAATGAGCAAGACCGTGTGCCAATAAAACTTTATTTACAAACACAAGCGGTGGGCCGGTCTGGGCCCACAGGCTATGCAGTTTGCCAGCCTTTGGTTTAAGAACCTAGTCAAATGTCGGCTCCCTGGAAGGCTTCCAGGACACCCCTCTCCCCAGATGTCCCTCTCCCACCCTGATTCCCACTCCAGAGTGTAAACAGCTCTGATTGTAAGCACATGGGGGTGGGACCACATCAGCTCCCCACCACGTGACCATGCCTGTGACTCGAAAGCCCCGTGTGGATGCTGTGAAGCACCCCGTGATTCGTGGTTGACCGTGGAAGTCACAGCTTACGGAAAAGCCTCCAGGAGCCCTGGAGGCGCTCACAGGTGTGACCACAGTCAATCGGAGCCTTGGTTTCTGCAGACATGGACCACACAGCTGCTTGCTTCTGTGGTCTTCCGACCTCGTGGCACTTTCTAGAAGCCCCGCAGGGCACTAGTTTGGGAAATGCTTCTTTAACCTAAAACCTTCGCCTTCCACATGGGAGACCTGGGTTCGAGTCCCTGCTGGTTCACCTCACACAGCCACTAGCCATCTGTCAGTGGAGACTTGAGTATTGCTGTGATGCTAAATTGTTTCCAGCACAGCTTCCAGGCTAAGGCAGATGAGGAAGAAAGGCCTGGCTATCAACTTCCAAAAGTCAGTCTATGAACACTCCGCCAGCCCCACTGTGACCACCTCCCTCAGGCCATGTCACTGACACTGGAAAAGGTAGCGTGGATGTGGTCTTGGTCAGATGTTCCTGCCTTTACCAGGTCAGCAGCTGCCCAGCCGATCTGGCCCTCCTCCCACCCTCAGGTCCCCCTCTCCCCTTGGCTGGCCCTGACCTGTACCCACCAGCCACCTGCCCCCTCCCAGGTTGCACCTGGGCTCCGAGACCCACCAACCCTGGAAGCCCCTCCTGGCTGGGCTTGCCCGGCTCTGTCTGTGCAGGCCTTGAGCTGCCTCTCACCTCCCGCCTCAGGCAAGATGGAATCCTTGGAATTTCCTTTAGACCCCATGGCGGAGGGATGTCTGTGCTTCGACATGCAGATGCTAATCCAACTATTCACAATAAGCAGAACCCAAGTGTCCCTCAGCAGACGACCACAGTGGGTGTCCTTCAGCCACTGAGGACAGTGAGGGCCTGATGCCTGTCACCATGTGGATGGACCTTGAGGACATCATCTGCTGGCTGATGCAAAGAGACAGGCAGCTCCACACAGCGTGAACCCCGCTAATGTGGGGTTCTGGCAAAGACACAGAGAAGGGGCATCAGTGGTTACAGCAGAGGGGATGGAGGAAGGCGTCCTGGTGGTACAGGGCTCAAAGTACTCAGCGCTGACCAAAATGTCTCTGTTTGAGTCCACTGCAAGAGAAAGATGTGGCCGTCTTCTCCTACATAACGACAGCCTTGGGGCCCCCTTAGGGCAGCCAGTTTATGTCCTGCGTGGTTTCTGTGTGTTGGAGTCTACTTGGCCCCTGACGATGAGAACAGAAAGCTCACAGGCTGAACTTGGGCCGCCAGCTAGTAGGGTCAGGAGTCGAGGTCAGGGTTGGGTAAAGGAGGAAGGGCTAAGCTGTCGGGGAGTTACCGGTTAAATGGCCCCAGGCTTCTCTTTAGGGTGACGAATACCGCGTGTGTGTGTGTGTGTGTGTGGTTGCACAGCACAGGGAGTCTAATTAACGTCACTGAATGAACTGTGTGCCAAACAGAGTGGCAAGCACGCCTTACACAGGCCGTCCCCTGACCGTTTGCGTGACACCCAGTGGAAGGCCAGCCCTTCTGTTTGCGTGTCCTTGGCAACAGGACAGGCACAGCCGCACAGTGTCACTGCACGTAATTTACTGATGTCCTCATTCTCCGATGTGTTTCCAATCCCCAGAGACAAAGCTTGGGTTTTTTAAATACAGGTAATATGAAACACAACATATATGAATTTTGTATGCAAACCAGTATAATGGGGGGAGGCTACAGGTAATAAGCAATAATGAAACCTTTTTTAAAAAGTGTTAGATTTAAGTCAGAACTGACTTCTGAGAAAGTGCTTAGGACAGAACTCTGAGGTGCGTCAGGGAGGACGAGCTTTGTAAATAGTACGGACACACACGTGCGCCCATGAGCAACCCTACAGGGCTTGTATCCCCTGAACCCTGGGTCCATCCAGGGCCATGCTGCTGGCGCTCAGGGTGACATCTGCCTAGGTACCGGCCAGCCCAGAAGATGGACAGCCTCGGGGACAGCAGCGCCAGCAGCAGCCTGCACAGCACGCCAGAGCAGGCCATGGCCGCCCAGAGCCAGCACCACCAGCAGTACATAGGTGAGAGCGCCTGGCCCTGCGTCACCACCCTCGCAGCACCCCCCTGCCATCCTGGGGGCAGGACCTGCCGGACAGCCTCGAAGTCCAGTCAGCTGCCTGGGTTGCAACAGCCTCTGAAGAGATGTGACTTGAGTCGTGTTTTTACATAAGTCTCTAAGTTCCCCAGCACTGCTGCAATAGGAATGTCCAAAGTAGGTGGTTTTAACAAACGGAAATGGATTTCCTCCACCAGCTGCGCCATGGGAGAAGGATGGGCAGTCACACAGGAGTGCATCCTTCTCCACAGAGCACCTGGGGGATTTGAACCATGTTCCTTTGGGATTGCAACCAGCTTCTTACAACGAAGCGATCAGAGCTCAATTTACGACATGTTTTGGAGGAGTCAGAGAGGGTGGTTAGTGGGCATGATTCCATCAGAACTACGTTGTTGTTGTTGTGTGCCGTCAAATCGAATCCGACTGGCACTGGAGGCGATTGCCCCTCCTTCTCCAGCGGAGCATCTGGTGGATTCGAACCACGCACCTCATTAAGGATCGCAGCGCAGCTTCTTGCCACTAGGCCACCAGAGCTCGCCAAGATGGAACTTTTAAGTGAGATCAGAGTACTGGGAAGCCTGCTGTGCGCAGCCATGTCGGGGCGAGGCGCACCCAGAGCTTTTCCCAGCGACTGACTGTTCCAAGTAGACAGCCAGGCCTTTCTCTGAGGTTCCTTTGGTGGACGGGCACCTTCAGCATTTCGGCATCAGCTGAATGCATGACCGTTTGTTAAGCACCACCAGGGGACACCTCAGAGTGCTCAGGCCTCCCTAAAAGTGAGGCTTCTCCACCAGCTCCCCATCATGAAGCAGTATGCTCTCGTCCTGGGGCTTCACACTAGCTTGGCACCCGCCAGACGCACACTGTCCGCAGAGCTTTGACAGACCCCGACGCCAGGGGCCACGAGCGCCCAGCTCACCCTCCACTCTGACACACGTTCCTCCCGCAGATGTCTCCCACGTCTTCCCAGAGTTCCCGGCCCTGGAGCTAGGCAACGTGCTGCTGCAGGGGGACCTTACACTGCACGACGTCAAGGTCCTGCAGCTGGCCTACAGGCGGCACTGCGAGGTGACCACCCACTGGGGCCACTGGGCACGGGCCACCACTGGTGCTCCAGGCAACACAGGGAGGGGGCTGGCTGTGTCTGCCCATTGAGCCACCTCCCTGTGATGAGGCTGTGGGCTGCTGTGCACCCTCCATCACCACCCCCCGTCCGAGCTGCTCACCAGCCCTCTGCCCACAGGCCACGCTGGATGTCGTGATGAGCCTGCAGTTCCACTACGTCGAGAAGCTCTGGTTCGCCTTCTGGAGCTCAAAGGCCACCAGTGACAGTCCCACCCCCGTACCTGCCAGGTGAGTGTCGTCCACCCTGCCAGGTGTCTCCACACCTGCCAGGTGATTGTCACCCATCCTCAAGGTGTCTCCACACTCACCAGGTGACCTGCTCCCACGTGGCCTCTTCTACCTACTTGACACCACCAGCCCAGGACCCCCACAAACCCTCTGGTGCCACCTCCCAATGCCTGCTCCAGAATTCCATGTGTAAATACACCCAACAAGTGTGTGAACTTTCTAAGAATTGGTGCTCAAGTTCCCCTTACGTGCTAGACACAAGCTTACTCCCTGTCGTTTATCACTCGTTCACATTGCCGACACGTCGGAACCAACGCAGCTGCCTGCCAGCAGGTTTTCAGACTATCACTTACACGGGAAGAGACTATCCATCTCTCTCCCTTAGCACCACCAGTGGACTCCAGTCACGAGAGGCCTCCGCTGTGGGTCACCAGAACAACGGCCTACAGACTGGGCCGCCAGGGCTCCCTAGTCAGTGTGTGTGTACATACACACGTATATAATATCACGTCATATGTTAATGTTGTGGTTATGTGCTCTCGAGTCGCTTGTGACTCATAGTGACATTATGTACAACAGCCCTAAACTCTGCTCTGTCCTGTGCCAATCGCACTGTCTCTGACACTCCCATCCCGATTATCCCAGTCACTGAATCAATCCACCTCATAGAGGGTCTTCCCCTCCTGCACTGTCCCTCCACCCTACCAAGAATGATGTCCTTCTGCAAGGACCAGTCTCTCCTTACAACATGTCCAAAGTATGTCAGATGAAGCCCCAGAATCCTTCCCTCCGAGGAACAGCCTGGTTTAACCCTCTCCAGGATGAATCTGTTTGTTCTCCTAGCAGTCCATGGTACATTCAGTACTCTTCTCCAGCACCACAGCTCAAAGGCATCAATTCTCCTTCTATCCTCCTTGGTCATTGTCCAGCTTTCTGATGCATGACAAGTGGCGCACCTTAGTCTCCAGAGAGACGCCGTTGCTCTTCAGTACTTTAGAGAGGTCCCTAACAGCAGACATTCCCATCTCAATACGTCTTTTAATTTCCTGGCTACCGGTGCCTAGAGTGTTATGTTAATAGATTCTATAAAACACAATAGGCCCTGCTGGTGTGATGGTTAAAGCTCTCAGTTCAAATATCTCAACTCCACTGGCCGTTTGTAGGACAAAGACCAATCAGTCTGTTTCTGTAAAGATCCAGCCTAGTAAGTGCAGGGGGTGCAAGTCTCCCCTGTTCTGTGGGGTCACCATGAGCAAGAGAAGAAAGCAATGGACGTGATTTATTACTTTTCCACATAGAGTATATAGATTGTTATATAACACTATACGTAAATTATGCTGTTAGGTGCTGTCAGGTTCCACGTAGCCGCCCTGTGAATGACAGACCTGAACCCCGTCCTGTCCTGTGCTGTCCTCACAATCTCAGACACACTTGACCTATTGTTGCCATCACTCTGTCTATGTAAATTTTGTTGTTGTTGTTGTTGTTGTTGTTGTTATGTGCCGTCAAGTCACTTGCGACTCATAGCGACCCTTATGTACAACAGCCCTAAACTCTGCTCTGTCCTGTGCCAATCGCACTGCCTCTGACACTCCCATCCCGATTACCCTAGTCACTGAATCAATCCACTTCATAGAGGGTCTTCCCCTCCTGCCCTCTCCCTCCACCCTCCCAAGCATGATGTTCCTCTCCAAGGACCTGTCCCTCCTTACAACATGTCCAAAGTATGTCAGATGGAGCCTCAGAATCCTTGCCTCCAAGGAGCAGCCTGGTTTAACCCTCTCCAGGATGAATCTGTTTGTTTAGAAAGCATAAAACTCTATAGACAGTGGTGGCGGCAGCGTTTTGTGGAGGCGAATTGGAGCCGACCCTCTAGCAGATTTTCTAAAGCAGTAAATCGCGTGGGAGGAGACTGCCCATCTTTCTCTCTCAGAGCAGCTGGTGGATTCGAACCCCATGCCTTCAAGTCGGCAGCACAGCTCCTTCCCCATCAGGTCTCTGAAGCTCTTGCTCTTAGGTGGCTTTTAGGGGCCATCAGGTAGATTTCCCCACTCCTGGTGACCCTGGGTGACAGGTATTCTTGGCTGTGGTCTTCTGCAGGAACTTTCTCCCAAGGAGCTGGGAGGGCTCACACCCGCCCTCCCGGCTGGCCGCTCAGCGCCGCCCTGTGGCAGCACCAGGGCTCCGTGAGTGCACGCGAGGCAGGATTCACTGTCGAGTGCTGAAAAGCAGTGAGGTGGCTAAAAGCAGGCCTGGGCGCATCGCAAATCCTTGTCACCCATTTGACCCTCTTCAGACCAGACTTTGCTTCCACATGAGTGGTTTTAGTGGTGGCCTGACTGCTCCCCCAAATAGAGGTGACCTGCAACCACAGGAATGTGTCACAGAGGCCTCATGCAGAGCACGGACACAGACCAAGACCAGCCGTCTGAGCAGCACACTGGGCAGAGCCAGAGCACCGAGACTGGGCTTGAACCTGCTACGTGGTGTTCCCTTGCCCAGTAGAGGGCCGGAGCTGGTGCCCGCGGAGCGGACCCCAGTTCTCAGCTGCCCTCCCCATTTCCCTGCAGTGAAGAAGAGCCTGAAGTGGCCACCATCCCAAAGGACAAGCTCATTTCTCTGTGCAAATACGAGCCTATCCTGAAGTGGATGCGGAGCTGCGACCACATCCTGTACCAGGCGCTGGTGGAGACACTCATCCCCGACGTGCTGCGGCCTGTGCCCAGTAAGGCCTCTCGCCCGCCCCGGCCCCCTCCTCGCTCTTCCCCCCGCTCTCAGCCCTCTGTCCATGCCCCTGACTGCCGCTGAGCCCACTCCAGCTCTCCGCCCCCCCAGGTGTGTCAGTCCAGGGCTCTTGGGCATTTTCAGTAGCTGAGCTTGGGAAGTGGATCACCAGGCCTTTCTTTGGAGGTACCTCTGGATGGATATGAACCTCCAACCTTTTGGTTAACAGTAGAGTGGGCTAATTTGTTGTTGTTCCTGTGTCTAAGGGACACACTAGGTTTTTTAGTGGGGCATAGAGCATCCACACGTGATAACTGCTCACCGCACCAGGAGTTCTCCCACCTCCCCCTTTTCCTTTCTGTGGCCCCAGAGAGAGCGAGCAGGCACAGGCTGGCCTGGCCTGTGGTGGGAGGCGCCCTCCTGTCAGCCCTGCAGGCTCCTAATCCGCTTGGCTCCCTCTCCTGGGATCTCAGTAGCCTCAGCCAGTGCTGTCCCAAATGCAAGACATGCAGAAAGCCGCCTCTTGACAAATCGGCACCTCACACTCGGGAAGTGACGCCTCGCCGGGGGTCTGTAGAGGCCGTGCATCTCAGTCCTGTTCCAGGATCTTCACTGCACACTTCCTTTTGCCAGAAAATTGGAAATAGCAAAGCTAGCCCGTTTGTCCTCTGGCTGTGTAACTAGGAAATGGTTCGATCTCATATCATGCTCCACTAGAATCTCTGTGTTAAGGCTTATGGAGCCCTGGTGGCACGGTGGTTCAACACTTGCCTGTGAAACACAAGGTTGGGGATTCGAACCCAGATGTGGCTCTCTGCCTTGCCAACTCTATGGGCCAGTCTGCCCTGTCCTGCAGGGTCCCTGCGGGTGTGCGGATCAGCTTCGGGGTGGTGGAGTGTTTCTGTCTGCTCTGCGTTTCTCTGTGTGATGGATAGATGGGTGGGTGGGTAGATGGATGGATGGATGGGAATAGGTGACACTAAGCTGTTCCTCTGACTCAGTGCCCATAATTCTCACTCCATGTCCTAAATTCTTGGTTGTCCTTGTGATTCCCTATGTTGTGATTTCCTCGTGGGTGGAAATGTCACTGCCTTTGTCACTGAATCCTCACTCTAGTAGGGAGGTGTGGCCTTGCTCACAGTCGATCTCATGGTTTCCTCCAGGTACCTTGACACAGGCCATCCGTAATTTCGCCAAGAGTTTAGAAGGCTGGTTGACAAATGCCATGAGTGACTTTCCCCAGAAGGTCATCCAGACCAAGGTAACTGGTCAGGGCAGGGCTTGGGGTCCCCAGGAACAAGGGAGCTGGGAGCTATTCACTCTCTCGGCTCTGCTGGCTGGGAGCTGGGCCCATGCTGCTGGCTGTCCTGGCTCTGCCCGCTGGGCCCTGGGCCCATGTTATTGGCTCTGCCAGCAGGGAGCTGGGCCCGTGTTGCTGGTTGCCCCAGCTCTGCCGGCTGGGAGCTGGGCCAGAGCCAGTTGCTGTCAATCAAGTTGACTTCAAGTCAGTGCACCCTGATGTGTGTCGGAGCAGAGCTGAGTTGCATAGGGTTTTCTCATGACTGACTTTTTGGAAGTAGTTGAGCAGGCCTTTATTCCAAGGCCTCTTCAAGTCCACCTCTGGGTGACTTGAACTGCCAACCTGTTGGTTAGCTGCCAAGCATGTTAACCATCTGTGCCATGCAGGGACTCAATGGACCTGCTCTGCCCTCTGCAGTTTGGGATTGATCCATTAGACCTGCGATTCTCAAATACCCATGTTTTGTAACAATAACCTAAACCCAAAATATCCGTTCCCACTCATCACGACCCCATGGGACAGAGAACTGCTCCCTCGGGGTTCCAGCTGACACACTGACCAGCTGGTGGGTTCTAACCACTGAGTCAAGTGTTTTAAGCACTGTGCCACCCAGGCACCTCAGAGTCTCCCTGGTCGTTGTTATCAGTGCAGATCACCAGCCCCCACCCCAAAGTGTCTCTGAGCCGGTGGATCTGGGGATAAAGTCCAGGAATCTGGATTCGAACATCCACCCGGAGGGCCAAGAGAACACGGACAGAGGGCGCAGGCGCCCCGAACCCACGGCCCATCTGTCCCGGTGTGTGGCACGGTGAGGACCTCGCAGGGTGGCATTGCACTTGCGCGGCTGCCGGCCTGACCCTCCGCCCGCGCGTGTCCCGCAGGTGGGCGTGGTCAGCGCCTTAGCCCAGACGCTGCGCAGGTACACGTCGCTCAACCACCTGGCGCAGGCGGCGCGGGCGGTGCTGCAGAACACGTCCCAGATCAACCAGATGCTCAGCGACCTCAACCGCGTGGACTTTGCCAACGTGCAGGTGACTCCCCATGGCCGCCGAGGAGCAGGACCAGGCCTGGGGCCCGAGTGCTCTCCCCGCCCCCACTCCTGCCGGACAAATGCAGGTTCAAGGTCACATGGTTGTATCCGCGCACACAGACTTTACAGAATGGCCACTGTACAAAGACATGGGGGGCGGGGGGGGGGCGGCTGTGTGAAACGTGCAACAGTATGATTTCCTCTCCTCCAAGATGAATGAGTATCAGCAGTTCGGAAGGAGTTTAGTTAACTGGTTATTTTTCTTTCTGTGGATTGCCCATCCTTCTCCCGCAGAGCAGCTGGTGGCCTCGAACCGTGTACCTTAGATACTGCAGTGCAGCTTCTTGCCACTGGGCCACCAGAGCTCAAAAAGTAAAATATAGCCCACTCTCCCTCCCCCCCCAAAAAAGAGACTTACTAATGAATTAAAAATACTCCCAGTCAAACTCATTGCTGTGGAGTAGGAACGACTCGTAGCTGACCCTCCCGCGGGGTTTCAGAGGCTGTAAATTGCACTCGAGGAGACTGCCCATCATCCTCCCGAAGAGGGTGGATTCGAACCCCCAGAGGTGCTGCTGTGGGTTAGCTGCCCCCAGCGCTCCCTCCCGTGCTGTTGGGATTGTTGATGTTGTAGTTGTTAGTTTTGCTGATGGCATCGCTCCAGCTGGTCCCAGCCCCACACATGGTTTGAGCACACGTTTCAGATCCTGCCCCGCCCATGATCGGTGGCAGGTGGGACCACTGAGCTCCTCAGGGTTTTCACTGACCGATTGTTGGAAGCTGGTTGCCAGGCCTTTCTTCCAACTCATCTTAGTCTGGACCCTCCTCTGAAAGCTGTTCAGCAGCACAGCAAGCCTCCACTTCCAGGCGGGCGGGAGGTGCACACGGGCTAGGATCCAGCCTGAGTCCCGCATAGAGGGCGAGAATTCTACCCCAGATACACCACAGCCCCGGTGACAGAAAAGAGCATACATACATGTTTACAAGGGCAACTGACCACTTACAAACCAGCCGGCGGACACTGTAACAAAGCTGCTTCCTCGAGAGGCCTGGACACTTAGGTCCCTAGGAGCCAGGTGGCCTCCCTGCCTGGCCTGCAGGTGAACAGGTGCTGACCACGCTGGGCTCACAGATGGAGGGCGAGCACAGGGTCCGCCTGGCGCTGGGGTGGCGGCCGGAGGGGCGGGGCGAGCGCGCCCTCGCAGGGCGGGGTCACTGCACGCGTGGTGACGTCGCCTCACTCGTGCGCAGGAGCAAGCCTCGTGGGTGTGTCAGTGCGAGGAGAGCCTGGTGCAGCAGCTGGAGCACGATTTCAAGCTGACCCTGCAGCAGCAGAGCTCCCTGGACCAGTGGGCCAGCTGGCTGGACAACGTGGTCACGCAGGTCCTGAAGCAGCATGCCGGCAGCCCCAGCTTCCCCAAGGCCGCTCGCCAGTTCCTGCTGAAGTGGTCCTTCTACAGGTAAGAGGCCTCACTGACGGGAGGACGCAGGAGGGAGGAGGGGGGAGGAATGCACGAAGCGAGGACAGAAGGGGGAGGCAGGAGGCGGGGGAGGAACGCAGCGGGGAACGCAGGAGGCGAGGACATAGGAGGGGGGACACAGGAAGGGGAGCTGAGGGGGGGGACTCGGGAGGGGAGGAGGCGGGGGATGCAGGAGAGGAGGACAGCGGGAGGGGAGGACACAGGGGGAGGATAGAAGGAGGTGGATGGCATGAGGGAGGACGGAGAACTTCATGAAGGGAGGACAGATGGGGAGGACTGAGGAGATGACACAGGAGGGGAAGACAGCAAGAGAGGAGGAGGGTTGTAGGAGGGAGGACGGAGGAGGTGACACAGGAGAGGAGGACCCAGGAGGGGAGGGCTCAGGAGGGGGCTGCTTGGCTGCTCAGCTCTCCTGGGTGAGGCAGTGGCAGTGGTGGCGGTGGCTGCAGGGGAGGCCCCAATTCAGGGGCACCTCACGCTCAACAGCAGAACACTGGCTGGATCAGCAGTGACTCGGGCCCACATGGGTCACAGCATCTCCTGTTTCTGAAAGCCTGTCTTGGAATAGACGCTCTGAAGAAACTGCTCCGTGTCCTAGTAACACACGAAACTCCAGTGACAGACGGTGCACTGTCCGGGAATCAAACCCAGGTTTCCTCACCACTAGGTGACGGAGAAAGGAAATGAACATCTTCCACTAACAGGAGCGATAGGAGAGTGGCCAGAGGCAGAAGACAGGAGACCCTGGGGAAAAAAACCATCCTGCCACCTTCCTGCTCTTATGATCTACCGTAGTTTGCTGAGGTAGACCCAGGGCATACTGTTGTCGTTGTTGTGTGCCATCAAGTCGGAACTGACCCATAGCTGACCCTCCAGCGGGTTTTCAGAGGCCGTAAATCACAAGGGAGGAGATTGCGCATCCTTCTTCCCTGGAGCAGCTGGTAGATTTGAACCGTGTGCTTTTGAGATTGCAGCTCAGTTTCTTATCTTACCACTAGTCCACCAGAGCTCCTCATAACATAATAGATGTTGTTGTTGTTGTTGTTGTTGTTATGTACTATTGAGTTGCCAGCAACTCATAGCGACCCTACATACAACAGCTCTGAAGCCTGCCCTGTCCTGAGCCAGTCTCACTGATTCTGACATACCTACCCCCATTGCCCTAGTTATTGTATCTACCCCATCTCATCTGGGTCTTCCCTTCCTCTGTTGCCCATCCATCTTTCCCAGCATGATGTCCTTCTCCAACGATTGGTCCCACCTGGCCATATGCCCAAAGTATGTGAGATGAAGCTTCAAAATCCTAGCCTCTAAGAAGAAACTTGGTTTCACCCTCTCCAAGTCTGTTCAAGACTCTTCTCCAGCAACACCACTCAAAGACATCAGTCATATTTAGTCGTTGTCCAGCTCTCTGATGTATATCAAGTAATTACAAAGACCATGGCCTGGATCGGGTGCACCTTAGTCTCTAGACTGACATCGTTACTTCTCAGTACTCTGGAAGGGTCCCTGACAGCAGATTTACCTAATGCAGTTTGTCCTTTGCTTTCCTGACTGCTAGTACCCAGAGTGATGATTGTGGAGCTGAGCAGGCTGTAACTGTTAACAACCTCAGTATCTTCTCCATCCATCATGGTGCTTCCAGTTGACCCAGTGGTGAGAATCTTGATAGCCTCCCACAGCTAATCTGGTCTTCGTTCATTAGTGGTCAAGGCCTCAAACCTGTTCCTCAGTTGGTTTTTAAATTCAGGTGGGACAGACTCAAGGTCAAATCACAGAGTCCCCACCTTCTATCTAGTTCCAGAACATTCTTAGTCTGTATGAAGAGAAGTTTTAAAAGGCTTACACCCCCAAGGACAGATCACAGCAACAAATATGAGATGAGAAGTGTGTGGACAAGGGGCAGCCAGCAGCCGTGGAGACTGACCCAGTGGGATGGGGACACTGAGCCCCATACCCTCAGCCAGGGAAGCAAGACCACTGACTGCCCCCCTAGAAACCCTACCCCTGAGAGAAGGGGCGGCTGAACTCTCCAGAGAAAGGAGACGAGAATGAACCCGGTGTGGAGCATCACTCAGGCACAGGAGACGTGAAACCTGGTTCCTGTCACATCATGGACAGCCCTCAGAGACACTGTCGACAGAAGGGAGCACAGAAGGACGCGTACTGGACAGTCCCACTTGTAAACTTCTTGTTGTCGCCCAGTCAGCCCCAGCTCAGGCACCCCCACGTGTCAGAGCAGAACTGCTGCCCAGAGGGTTCAAGGCAGTGACCTTTCAGAAGCAGATCACCAGGCCTTTCTTCCGCGGCTCCTCTGAGTAAGTCCCACCTTTCCACCACAGTGGAGCACTTCATCCTCTGCACCACCCCCCAGCCTGGGCTGAGAAACGTCTGGAATAGAGCAGCATGCAGACAGACCCCTCGAGACATCCCAGACCACTGCAGGAAGGCGAGTCACATGGGCGTCCTGGTGCGTTTCAAAGCTGTGCTGCCACTGGACTGTGTCACCTTTGAAGTGAGTAATGGCATCCTGCAAAAGCGAATGACCAAAATGTGTCACAAGAGACACGCAGTGAGTATAATGGTGACAGTAAATTACTCAACATGGGGTTGCCACAAACCTTCACGTTGTTTTAGAAAAAAATAAAAACCCAAGCGTTGTAAAGCTCAGCTGAACTGGGTTTGCCATGTCTGTCACGAGGGGCTGGAGCTTCTCAGAGGTCCTGAGGATGGCACAGGACGAGGCAAGGTCACTCTGCGTCGCGGGGAAGTCAGTGGCACCCAACACCAACAGCAGCCACCTGGGCAGAGGCTGGGGCTGATTTGTAGTGACCAAAGACAGCGGAGCTGGACAATGAGTAAGGATGAGAGAAGAAGAATGAATGCATCCTTGCTGTGTGGGGTTAGAGTACTGAAGAGCCCATGGACTGCCAGAATAACAATACATATGTCTTGGAGAAGATGCAGCCAGAGTGCTCCTTGAAAGCAAAGATGACAAAGCTTCATCTCACATATTTTGGGCACGTTGCTAGAAGAGGCTATTCGTTGGAGAAGAACATCGTGATTGGAAAGGTAGAGGGCCAGTGAGGGAGACGAAGAACCTGAACACAGTGACTGTGGCAGTGGGCTCAAATGTGGCAGAGGTTGTGAGGATGGGATGAGAGTCAGATCTGTTAGGGTCACTATGGGTCATACTCACCAGCACCTGACAACAACATCAGGGACAAGAGAGGGGAGGGAAGGTGTGCTCTGTTGCTTCAGGGGCACTAAGCTGCTGTTAAAGATAGTGGGAAAGATAATGTTAAAGGCAGTGGGGACAGATAATGGTAGTTGAGCTGAACATAGTTAATGTCCTGAATTGTGCGTGTGAAGGTGTTTGAAGTTTCACGTGCTTTATTAGACATTTGTATTTACTGAAATGAGAAGGAAATAACAGCCCAGACTGGAGGCCAGGGGTCATGGCATTAAAAGAGAACATTGCAGAGAGCCCTAGGGACTAACAAGACAGAGTCTCACTCACTCTGCACCTGTAACGCTGGTGGCCAGGCTGATGGTGGGCAGAGCATGGGAGGGGACATCCTTCAGCACTGGGAGACTAGAAACTGGGCCCCTGACTCATACATTTAGGAACACAGCCCCTCTGTGAGCTGGATGCTGGTCTGAGAGTGTCGCAAGGTTTTCCATACATGTTTGGGTTATATTATGACCTTCAAAAGACACATTCGAGTCCTAAGCCCTGGTATCTGTGAACATAGCTTTGTTTGGAAGTACCCTCTGAAGATGTCACCAGTTCCCCTGAGGCCATGCTGGAGTATGGGGTCCTGTCCCAGTTCTGTTGGCTGTGCTGGTACCTTTTGTGTGACACCCTGGTGAGGCTATGACAACTAATTGTGTGGTCAAACCCTATTCTAGAAGTTGTCCTGATGTTTCATGTGCTTGAAGCAGCTGCCAGGTCTTTAAGATCAACTGCCTATGGCCTGAACCACATGTTTGGGGCTTGCCTGTCCCCACAATTGTGTGAGCCAGTTCTTTAAAACAGAGGAGTGAATGGAGGAAGAATGGATTGTTGGGTGAATGGGTGAATAATTGTGTGGATGGGGAAGGTTGGTTGGATGGGTGGATTAGTGGTTGAATGGATGGGGGGGGTGGACGGGCAGGTGGGTGGTTGGACAAGTGGATGGTTGCTTGGACAAAGAGGTGATTGCTTGGATGAGTGGATGGATGGATGGATGGATGGATGGGTGGATGGGTGGATGGTTGAGTGGATGGGTGGATGGTTGGTGGGTGGGTGAACAAGTGGATGGGTGGATGGCTGAGTGGACGGGTGGATGGTTGAGTGGACGGGTGGATGGTTGAGTGGATGGGTGGCTGGTTGGGTGGATGGGTGGCTGGTTGGGTGGATGGGTGGGTTGGTGGGTGGGTGAACAATTGGTTGGGTGGATGGGTGGATGGTTGGGTGGATGGGTGGATGGTTGAGTGGACGGGTGGATGGTTGAGTGGATGGGTGGGTTGGTGGATGGGTGGGTTGGTGGGTGGGTGAACAAGTGGCTGGTTGGGTGGATGAGTGGACGGGTGGATGGTTGAGTGGATGGGTGGATGATTGGGTGGATGGGTGGATGGTTGGGTGGATGGGTGGATGGTTGGGTGGATGGGTGGATGGTTGGGTGGATGGGTGGATGGTTG